GGCTCCTCTGTTGCAGCTACCTGGCCAAGTTCACCCCACAGCCAGGGGAGAAGTGCAGCACAACTCAGGGACAACGCAACACAGGCCTGCAAATATTCAGATTAACTGTTAACTGTTACATGGATCCCTAACTCCTCAATGTGTAACGGTCTCCTGGTCTGGATGATTACAGGTAACTATTAGAAACACTATGCAGATTAAAAGTTTTACATGAGCCACTAAGTTGGCAAGTTTTATGCACTCCCTTGTACACATTATTCAGAAACATCTGAAGTGTAGAGTCAGGTCACTGCTCATTTAAGTTTGGAATTGCTTTCCAGAGTTATTTCACTATTTGTAAGCCTCACTACACATTTTTCTTGTATTTCCTCTCCTTACCTAAGCTTAACTCGTGCCTTTTGTAAGAGGGGGAGGAGGGCAGCCAGATCCAAGTATTGGTTGTCTCTGACTATGCATCAGAGGAGGCCTAGATAATTAAATGTTTGCTGTCAAATGAATTTGATAATCAAGTATTATGCTTAAGCTTTACCTGAGTGAGAGCAGCCATGCTACACAGTCAGATCCAGTTAGGTTTACTCAATCCTCCAGCCTTGATGCACATGCTGACAAAGCAAGGTTGGAAGGAAGCTCCGGCAGTCACCTGGTCTGTCCCCCCCAGCTCCAGTGCATTGGGTACAGACGAGCAGCTTTTGCAGAGGCAGTTTATTCTGCAACCACCTAATAACGCAGGGCTTCTTTCTCTGGAGAAGATGGTGGTATCAGTTGTCGCCCTGATGACAAACCTAAAGTGGTTTTGTGCCACTATCCAATCTGCCACCTGCCAGCTCATCTCAGCACCTCTGCTCAGCTTGAAGTGTATGGCTGGGCTCAGCAACTGCAGCAAGTCGGTGGAGCTGGGCGGCTGCGATCTGTCTTCACACACAAGAGAAAGCTCTGTATTTTAGGTCAACCTTAAGGCACATTTTTTATATAAAGAAAACACTCCAGAAGTAATTTTAATATAAAATGTTTTTATTGTTTTTGAAAACATTTAAAAAACAATTTTTGAGCACTTTCAATAAAAAAAATAACTGAAATGCTACTGCAATATTCAACTACTGTAGTTTCAGCAGTACAACAGACAACAAAACACTGGGGAAGAGGGGAGAAACTGGATTTCCTGCACTAAATGAAAATGTGGAACAGGGATTTTTCTTTTCTTATGGTGCAGTAAATAAAGCACAGTATAGTACAAGACTATTATATGAACCTCAGATGCACTGCACAAGAAACGCTTTCCTTCTTTTCAGTTCAGAAGTCAGTGCTTATTGCAATTATTTGCAAATTATTTACTTCATGAATTCTTATCATGATAAAATGATGCAAAAATGTTTTTCAACACCAGAACAATAAAAAATAATCCAAGAAAGGAACATATTCAACAATAACTAAGCTGAATTAGTTAACATAAAAAAGTAAATAACTTGTGAATAACTATGCTCACCTGGTTAACACTGAACCAGTTTCAATACAGCAAAAGAATAAAAAAAATAGAAGTGGTTACAGGAATATATCTAGTACTGTACAAGATTAAGTCATTAACACTCATGCACGTTTTGTGATCATGTATTAACATGGTGAAGCAAACTAAACTTAATTTTTCCTGCTGTAATATTCTCATGTAAGAGAATAAGAAATAGAAATATCTCATTGAGATCAATGCACATTGCTACATAAGACAATTTCACCTGTCACTTTTAATGACATTTTGCCTTTTAATAATGAAACACATTAAAAAGGTTTTTTTGTTTGTTTTGCCTTTTTTTTTAATCTGTGGGCCGTATTTGTTGCATTTATCCTAAGGAATGTGCCTGCCACAGGTTCAACAGAATTTTAGTGCAATATATGAACCCAGAAAGTTTGCTGGACTAACCAACCAACCAAATTTAAAGTGTTTGCTGCAATACTGTACACAGGGTACAAATTCACTAGTTTGTACACTTTAGCAAAAACCGCTATCAAAATAATTTCTCTCTCATTTTAGTAGGAAGCCAATAATGTAAACAAGGGGTCAGATCTGTCTCAAATTCTTAGTTTTGGAGTATCTGACACAGGCTTCCGTTTGTTAGAATCACAGAATTTTCCTTTGGGTATTGCATACTTTGGTGTGCAGTAGTGCTCTGTCTCAATGTATAGTAAAGAACTAACTAGCACTAAGTACAGGGAGCTAACATTATTAATTGTAACACCAACACACAAACACCTCTAAAATAATACATACCAATGTACAAAGCTGTGCCTGTGCCTTGGATTTTATGTGAAACAATCCTTATCAAATTTAACACTTCTTAAACATATATTTGCTTTAAATCCACTGATTATAGAATATTTCCACTAATTAAGTCACACGTTAGGCCCAATTTAATGCTTGTATTTAAAAATAATTTTAAACACACTTTTAAAAACCTTTGGTGACGGCTGCATAATTTAGAACGCATCAGCGTTAAATCTACTCTTGTTTTTCTGAGAAATGTTCTTAAAAAATTAGCGGAGTTAGGCAAAAACTTATTTCCCCCGAGCCCACGTCAGTCTCAGCGTTAGCAACCCAGAGGCGAAGCCAGCATGTCACACAAACGCATGGGCTGCTGCAGCATGCAGGTGGCTTCTCCCCGCAGTGCCGGCGCTCGCGTCCTCCCCATCGCTCTCCATCAGAAGGTAGGTTTCACCTATTCACAGTGGTGCTGGCACTTCACACAGGGTCGGGGGGGTGGGGGGGGCAGGGAGAGAGGAGCTGAGTGTCTCTCAGACCCAGTGAAGTCAACAAGGTAAGAAGATGTTGAGCGCATCTCTGGCAAAAGGCCACGGGCAGGTACAAAACTCAAGCCCTGCCTTCAGCAACTTTAGTCTACAAGAAACATGGTCCAAGCCTTACTGACAGACACCTGGCAACATAACAAGCAGAAGGCTACCATGCAGTTTTTAGTCTCCTCCTCATTTCCTTAAAAAAATCCCAAACTTCAAAGGGTCCCTTGGTCTTAAACAAAGCAAACCACACCATTGCACATCCATGTGCTTCAAGGAGGGATCTGAACTCTCCAAGTTTGTTCCTGATGAAGTGGCAAAACTTCTGATGCAAGCACAGTGACATCAGGCCCCCATAAGGTGCTACAGCTTGGCACAACTGTTTGTCCCTGCAGAGGAGGCCACGGACTGGTGATGAATTGGGGCAAGAGCAGGAGAAGCCGCGGTACACCAGTACCTCAAGTGCCAAGGCAGCAGCACAAGTTGAATCAGCACCACCAAAAAAAGTGACCAGTACTGGGATCTCAAGTCATCGGCAAAAACTGAATAAACAGAAGACCACCAAGACACTTGACCAAAAAAACCACTCATCACCTGAAAAATCTGACCATCTTCCCATCTTCCCCTTAAGTAAACCTAGGGGAGCTTATTGTGCCTCCCCCTTCACAAATTCAAGACTTCTCATTCAAAGAAGTAATGCAAGAGAGGAAAAGGTTTTCTGCTCTGTCTTCTGTTTTGTAAGTAGCAGTTCACAGGAGAAAGAATCAATTTTGTACTAAGCTTAAGGGACGGTATTGCAGCATCCTCAGTGCACCACTTCTTTTGCAAAAGCTTGCCTCTGCAAGTCCTGTTTCTAGCATCAGGGCCACGGCCCGTTAAGTACCTCCCTCTTTTCACCATTAGAGAGATCCATGCCATGCTGATAAAACAACAGGTCTTTTTTGTGAACTAGTGAACTAGTGAGGCAAAAATCTATAGCTTATCTTCCAGAGGGGCAGCTAAGGACTTCTAAAAAATTGAGACTCACCAGTCCTGTCAAATCACTTGCGAAAATGGAATTCAGGCTTCCAAAACAGTAAGTACTTTTGAAAGAAGTTTTACCAAAAGAAAGATCACATGTCTTACTGTGTATCTGTAAAGTGCCTGGCAGTATTATGGCTCTATATGAAGTATTTTTAGATCAACCACATTTTGCAATATTTTAATCATCTTTTGTTTGAGAGAATGAAAGCAAGCAAGCGAGACAGAAAGGCTCAACCTACTGAAATACAGAGAAAATAACATCTTCCTACACCCTCCTCTAGGTTAGGGAAGAGCAAACTTAAAAAATTAATCTTTAAAAATAGTATTTTAATGAGCTCCAGCAGCTCTTTTATTTAAAAAAGACAAGGGAAAATATCACGTTCCTTCTCTAGCATTGATAAATAATTAAACAGTACCTATCACTTTAAAATAGGGTGTTATGTCTAGATTAAATCTCAGTGCTCAAAAATCTTTTTGCAGGAATTTTACCTAATATAAAAACATTGAAGTGAGAACTAAAGTATCAAGTATGTCATGAATATTAATGGCTAAAATAACTACATATTTATTTCTCTTAAATAAAAAATTTAGTGCATCTTTCTTTTTCCTTGATCCTTTTTCCTGTTAGTTTTTCCTATCTCTGCATTTCACTAGAGATGTCAACGGCACCAGTGCTACAGAGATCTCCCACAGTTCACCATCGAGCACTGCTCAAGACCGTTACACCACGGTCAGGTACCTGCATGTCACCTGGTCCACCTGTACCCACTCCCCACCACCTACCTATCTGCTGGCTCCCTGCATTTCAGACCTGAACAACATGGGTCACCAAGGATCGTCCACTCAGAAGTAACAGCAATACAAAGTATGGAAAGCCTACCTGCGAGCTTCCAAAGCCTCAACCACAGCTGTCACTGCTGGCTGGCTACTAACCACTTCTTTTTTTTGCTACAATAAGAAATGTTGAATGGGAAACACTAGAAAATTCAAATTTTAATACTGGCTCTTTGACAGCTCATCACCTTCAGAGATTTGTTTAAAATTGGTAAGACTGCCTTTTCCCTGCTGAAGAATAAGCAACGGGTACAGCAAACTTTTTTAAAAATGCCACAATACATAGCAAGTGTTTCTGCTGCAGGAGGCACTTCCATTAAGACAAATACAATACGTCTGTCTTTTAGATACAGTGTGCTACATACATATTATAAAACAAGATTAACCCAACATTTCAACAGCAGGATGATCCTTACTCTCCATCCACTCAAAACCTGATGTAGTCATTGAGTTAATGGATTCATTGCAAATTTGTTGAAACAAGGGGTCATTTTTTAATTCCTCCAGTGTAGCATCATCGTCTTGTCCCTGCTGACGACCTGGATCAAACAGTAGATTTGTGTCTAAAGTGTTCAGATCGTTAATGCTGCCTGAGAGCTCGGAAGACAACCTGATGTCGCTGGGAAAGACAGATGCAACGTTATTGAGATCTGATGCCACCTGATTCACCAGCTGCTGGTTTGTTGGCAGACTGTCCTCCCCTAAAAGGTCTTTTACAGTGCTGCTAAAATCTAATTGCTGCTCTCCGATGTCTGATTGTGCTTGGTTATCTCCAGAAGAAAAACTGATCTGATCGGTGCTGCTGTTCTTTGTGAGGTAATTTGGTGTTTGGAATTCATAAACTGAAGTGCTGGAATTGATCATATTTTGTGGGTTGGCACTAGGAAAAGCGGCGGACGTCTCTAGAATCTGAGTGAGATTCATCCTGGCTGTGTAATTTGAGGGCATGTTGTTCACTCCCAAACCTCTCACTGCATCATCGCTATCAGAATCAAGTTTGCTTAACAACACATTGGTTATTTTTTTAGTGTTTGTTTGTTTCTGAAGAGACGGGAAGGCCGTCTGCATCATCACAGTCAACGGGACTGACTGGCTTCTTTGTGCTATGTTATTGGCACTCGTGTCTGCATGGATATTAGCAAATACATTGTGAACTTCGGGAGTCACTGGACTTCCAAAAGGTGTCAGGTTAGAGCGTGGTATATTTGAAACAGGATAAACAGTGCTTCCACTGAGATTACGCTGGCGATGGACAGCAGGGCTCACACTCCGGCATCTCAGACTGTTGTTGACAGAGGAACCAGTTCCTTTGTTGTCCAAAGGAGCAGGAACAGCAAAGCCCTCTTGCTTTGTGGCACTACTGACAGGGGCTGCCTGGTGCTGCACAGGTGAAACAGGAGTCACGCGACCAAAGTGAGTATCATGGTGGCGTGGCTGGGACTGGTATGACTGGCCAGGAACAGCAAAAGCATGAGGTTTCCTGAAGCGGTCTTCCACCAGCTCCTGATAGCTTGTAAGGATGCCGTGGCTTGCAACCGATGAATTGCT